GCGCGCGCGCCGCTCCACGTGGGCGCCGGCTCCCGGCTCCACTTTTATTTTTTAACCTCCTTTCCCCCCGCTTCGTTCGTTTTTATTATTATTATTTCAGCCCCAACTTTTAAGCGAGTTTGTTCCCTGCCCGCCCCGCCGCGGCCAGCGCGCGCCGCTGGCAGGAGGGCGGCCGGTTCGCAGCGGAGCGATCCGTCAGGAATAAGCCTTCCTTCCCTCCTGGGCTGCTTCCAACAGAAACACGGCTCCTACAGCTGGCAGGAAGCGCTGGAACGAGGCACAAGCCTCCAGCTGAGGCAGCTAGCTAAAGCCCCGTTATCCAAAGAGTCCGTAATATCTAGTCCGAGATTTAGCGGCTKCTTGGGGAGATTTGGGAAACCTCACACACTGTCGGCGGCCGGATCTTTCCGAGGGAGATCCGCTGCTTTCCATGTATTCCTGCATCAAACTTGCACAGACTTAAGAAAATAGTGGAAAACTTCAGCAAAAGCCACTTTATTAGCAGGGTTAATAGCAGCTTAGCTTGGTTTTGCTAGCATGGGGCTAAAGGCAAATAATTTTTGTGTCAAAAGGAGCCCAGGTGGGTGGCATATCCCAAGCACCCAAATCCAGGGCTTTTCCCTACAGGCACAGCATCGCCTTGCTCTCCAAGCTTATTTCTGCCACCAAGATAAGCAGAACTTACTGGCTTTGTCCCGGCGTGCAGGACTCTGGCAGTCACCGGAGCTCCGGTCACGGTAAAACTTGTTCCAGGTCTTGCTGCTGCTCCAACTGCTGTTGGAGGCTCCTGGGGGGCCTTCAAGCAGCCCTGCGGGGGACAAAGCATTCAAGCAATTCTGTCCCAGAAAAGACCCCAGACTGCCCCTTCCTGCCCCTTATCCAGGTGGAAGCATCAGCACCTCCCTTGCTCAGCGCAGGAGCAGCACTGCACATCTTTGTTCATCCCTGTTACTGCCGCTGAACCTTTTCCAGTCCCTCCATATCCTTTTTGGGATAAGAGGCCATGACATCAACAGATGAGTCACCTTTATATATCATACACAGTTAGCTCGGGGTGCTGCTGGGCTCGTTTTAAGAAAACTAACAACTTAGTTTATCCTTTAAAAACGATGAAGCCTCCTCTCGTTTCACACAGCACTTACATTTTAGTTCCTACAGATTAAACGACTGAAAAAGTGAAGTTATTACCTGCAATCAAAAAGCGGGACACCCTCTTATCAATTAATTTGTGCAGCACAGCAAGCTGCATCTTCCCTAACCAAAAGACAAGGCAAAAAATACGTGTATTAACCCAAGCAGCTGAAGTGAAGAAATCCTTATAAAATGCCATTTACCTTAGCTTTGGACCCAGATGCAAGAAACAGCTTTTCTACCCCTCTGCAAGCGTTAGAGGCATAGATCATATTCAGCAATATCAAACTGGGCAATGTCTCTCTTTCAAGGTCCCCACCCTGAGCGTGGAAACGATAGAAACCCGTACACATGTAATACAGGCTGCAGTCTAACTTCAGAATAAAGCCAGATTTGGTTAGTTTGCATCTACAGTTTAATGCTAGAGGGAAAGACTACTCATTAGCCTGCTCTGTAAAGTGGTTTGTCTCTCCTTGGCCTCTCACTAAAAAAAGATTTTTTTTTTTTCCCATTCTACCAAGAGGTTTCCTGTGGCTTGACCATGTTTTTGGTGTGAGATTGCTAGCCATGTGTATTTAAAGAAGGTAATTAACAGTTATTTTGCAAAGGTCAGCTGTTAGCAATTTCTGCTTAGTGGGGACAGCTGGAGAGGCACAAACCAGAGCAGCAAGAGGGAAAAAAGCAAAGATAACCAATATAACCATTAGTAGCTTAAGAGGCATATTTTTCAACCACTTCTTTGGCTTGGAAGTCTTTTACCCACTGCTAATATTAATAACATTCAATAAACTCAATTAAAAAGTCAGTTATAACAATAACATTTACAAGCCAAACACTAACTACCTGGGGCAATCAGTTAAAATTCGTTTAAGTGAATCAATGTAGTTTCCAGATACTTCCCTCATCAGTAACATCATTCTCAAGTAAGAGAGCACATTAAGGCGCCTGTCCCCTAAATAAGGTCTGCCTCTTTGCTTACCAAGTGAAATCAGAACCAAGTGCCAGAGCAGCACGTGCCCTTKCTCTTCCTCCAGGCTACTGAGGAGCCTCTACATCCTCTTTTCTAGTTCCTGAAAGTCACTTAGCTGCCAATTACTTCCATAGGGATAACAACAAATCCCAGGTTTATTTTATCTGCCTTTTTTTCTTTTGTGGCTAGGTCAGAGGCCAGGCACASCTCTCTGGTGACCCTAACGTGGGATCTGCATCAGCTGCATCCAACAGCAAAAGGCACCCAGCCCCACAGTGCCTTCAGAGGTGGCTTTTGGCTGCAGCTTTTTGGCCTTTCATCCTTCCCAGCAATAGCAGTGCCTGTAAAATGTCCTAACACTAAGGAAAGTCAAGGTCTAAAATGCCCAAAGTATCTCCAAGACTCTCAAGTATCTTTCCCTGGCAGCTTCCCTCTAAAAACAGCTCTAAAAAGATCCATTTCTGAGGGCAGTTAGGGTCAATAGCTCTGTTAGTTTGTTTTAACAATGGGCTGGATACTTCCCTTAGGGATTATGCTTCAGTGTTTTATCTTATTAAGAAAAGATGTGTTTTGTCCATTGATCCAGTTAGCCCAGTGGGCTAATGGGATAGGGCCTGTTCTGCCGCAGGAAGCACACAAATAGCAGTCAGGCATAATCAGCCTTAAATTTACAAGTAACAGCRGTAACAAGTGCCATTTCCCTGCATATCCCCCATGTTTATATGAAAGCTTTGCTCTCAAATTAGGTGACATCAGTTCTCTATTAGACTGCTTAATTCCTGATCAACAGGCAAAAYGTGGCCCTGAGAACACTGCCCTGTTTGTAAAGTCCTCCTTGTGATAAATAAGAGGCACATGGGTTGCAGCCCAGAATAATGTCTTTAGTACTTCTTCAGATATAAAGGCGTGAGAAATATGTATCATTATTTGGACGTCTCCCATGGCAAAGGGCACTTTCCAATCAGGGCCAATCGTTTGCAAATTCAATCGTGGGCTTGGGTGCCCCAACACTAAGCAGGTCCGTGCAACAGATACTCACAGCTCTCCTGCGTGAAGAGGAATACGAGCCTAAACTTTAAACAACGCTCTTGTGTTGCAGAAAACATATAAATAAATAGAGAAGCTTGATGGGGGGGGAAAAAAAAGAGGAAGAAAAATGAAGAACAAACAGGAACAAACTCCTGTGTCGTAGAGCAAGGGATCAAATCCCTGCAGCAGCAGCACTGTTCTTACAATGACTCCTTGTTGTCATTACTGTGCTTGGCCAAACGCGGCTTCCCTGCAGCACGAGGCAGCGGTGGGAACTCGGGACCCCTCAGGGGTTCAGGGGCTGAGCAAAGCCCAGAGTCACTCCAGGAGCAGGGAGACGGGCGGCAGCCATCTAACCGGGCCGGTTTTCCGGAGCTGCTCCCACGAACTACACTTCCCAGCGCTCTCTCGGGACGCGCGCGGGGGAAGCRCTGCTCAAAACCTGGGGCAGCCGCTCGCCTTTTCCTGCGGCAGCGGCGATTCCCGCTGCGGTCGACCAGGGGCTTCGGGAACTTTTTTAATGCTTCTGGAGAGCGCACCCCTTCCGCGCAGTAAGTGGGAGACAGCCCCGGATCCGCCTCCTGAGGGCTGTAGGGCACGGAAAGGGTTTGCAGGGAAGGCAGGAGAGTTTGGGCAGTCTCACACCGAGTTTTCAATGCCTCTGTCTCGAGTTTTCAATAATTCATAGCAAAATCTGGCACTGTGGTTCCTGGGAGGGAACGGGTTGGACACAAGTTGTATTTCCCTACTCCAGGTGAATTTATCCCTTCCCTCCCTACCCTGGCCGTATCCCGCGTGTCTGCGCGGCTGCCCATTCTGGAGCAAAGTGCAGAGCCTCTGGCAGACTCCTGGTGCCAGGCCGGAGCTTTCCATGGGCCGGGCTGCAGGAGACGCRGGGGTGGAGAGAGGCAGCCACGTCATCCGCACGCCAYGGAGCGGCCTCGGTCACGGCCTCCGTGACAGTCGCRCCTGCCGGATCCGGTGGGCAGAGCRCCCGCTTCCCGCTTGGCTCCCGCTTTTCCCTACGGATCTGCCCTGCTCCCGGCTYCTGGGCAGGACCACCCTCGGCTGACTGGGAGGGACGGAGGCTCCAGCACGGACCTTTCCCCCAAGGGAAGGCTCCATGAGCTCTTCTTTAGCCCCGCACACCTGTGTGTAAAGGGACGCAAACGTAACTTCCTTCCTTCCTAAGGGATTCAAAAATCCATGCTCAAAAAGTGGCACATTCAATTGTCAAGGACTGCAATCAAAGTTCCTTTTTGTCTCTGGAAAACACCAGCGACTGGAGCATTTCTGGTTATTTTCTGACATCCCAAAGCCAACTTTCAAATGGCCATTTGCRCTGGCCTGAGCCGACAGTGGGGCAACCCCAGTCACAGCCGGGGATGACCCACTTGGATGGCCCTTCATCCAACGTGGGTGCTCCCTTCTTTCCTTCTTTTCTGGCAGCGCTGCCTTTCCCCCAGATCCGCAGTTGCTGCAATGGGATGTTAACCGGGTTGAGGCCGTTGCAAGGGCGTTTGCTGCTCTTGTCCTTCTCCTTCTGCCGGAGTTTGGCACAGCTCTGCTTTAACCTCCTCTTTCAGCAATTCCTGTAGGACCCTCTGGGCACGCTCACAGCTCACGGAAACAAGCAGAGATGTCTCATAAACGTCTTTAGGGATCTTTCTGGTAGCACTGGGGTATTGCACCTTTTAAACAACACTCCTTTTTACAACATCACGTTTTGTGCCTCTCTCTTTGGGCTTCCCTTAGGTGTCGATCATGGCTCTGATTTATCAAGCAGTGCACAGAAGGGCTTCCTCTCTCCTCTGCAGGTTGCACTCTACTTATGTTAGAAAAATGAGGTAAGTTCTCACCTAATTCCTGACTACCATGGAAAGAACCCACTGCCCAGCACCCAAATTAATGTGTCCATTTTCCCCATTATTTTCTTACTGCAGATACTTAAATGAGCTAAGAGAAAATGACARCTCTTGTAGACAAGCCCAGACCTCGGGAACTTTCTACCTCTTTCACAATCTCTCCCCCTTCCTTCGGAAAGTCGGGATGGAATATTTGGTACCACAGCTAAGTGCAGCAGGTGAGCTGGTGTCCAGCAAGAATGTTTTCCTGAATCAGGCAGCTTAGATGATAGACTCATTTGCAGTTAGCAATCCTTTTTTATGGGGCTCACAAATCTATCAAGCTGCATAGAAACATCTCCTTATGTGCAACATCCTACTTGTTACCAACAGAACACCATTTAAAGCCTCTACATGTGGACGAGAGGCTTACGCTCTGCATGTACGTAAGGTATCAACATATGCCTGATGTGAGATGAGCACTTTTACACACTTAGGACCATACCTTTTTGAAGGGAAAGGGTTAGCAGGAAAGCCTTGACACAGATGATCTGGTCTAACCAGAAGGTTTCTTTGGAGGAAGGTATAAGCTGGTGTAGAGAAAGAGGAGACGACTGCTCCATGGGCATTAAAACACTTGCATCTTCAGCTGGATGGGATGGTTGAAAGATTTAAAAGTTAGGAAAAGAGCCAGACTTTTGGTCTCTATTAGCATGGAAGCCCTTGCCTGGTCCCTCGCTCACACCTGCACCCTGCCTTGAGCCACGACAACCGTGAGCACCGTAAACATGTAGAACGTGACGGTCGTATCCAGTCATTTCATCACAGCCTCTCTTCTCCTTTATCCTTGCTGTTTAGAGACGAAGAGGATCCTGGAGAAATTCAAAGAGACTGAGCAATGGATAGAGAAGTCAGTGCTGATCGGCTGTTCAGATGAGCACGTACCGTACTTTGCCTTGGATTTAGGTTGGGATGACTCCTCTTCCATCCGTGTCAGCGTCACGTTTTGTTCCCTGAAACGGAGATCCTGCCTAGGCAGCATGTTTAGTCCTTACCGGGTGATATTTACAGCTAAAACCCTCTGTGTGAGACCTGGCAAGCACGGGGTGTCAGAGCCCCCACCTGCACTGTTCTTCCTCTGAGTATTTTAGTAAAGGTGGGCTGTTTGGAGATCACTTAATACTTTGGAATGCGTAACCACGGATGTAATGCCACTTCCATAAGAACTTCCAGAAACTGTACACCGGAACACGGAGTGGGGAGAGAAACTGCAGTTAATGACATCAGGCACTTATTTTGTTGCAGGAGCCTTGGAGAAGTCGGTCATCGAGTCGGAGCTTGAGGGCTCATTCACTGACTTACGAAAGGCTCTCTTTGTAGTGGATGAGAAGGATTCTCCGTTGCTGGCCTCGGTACAGCATAGGATTTTTTTTTTTTACTGTGCTTTCTCACATCAACCCTTTTCCTTGTCTCCCTTGTTAGTTTTATGATTTAGTGTGTGCTATGGAAGTACCTGCTGCACCTTTTAAGTGAACTAGGTACAAAATGTATGATAAGCTAAAGCAGCTTTCTCAAATTTTCTGTCCTGAAAGGAAGATGCAATGGAAAGAGAGAAGTGGCTTACACATATCTGCAGTAATTAGCCCTTTAGCATTAACCAGCTRTATGTCCAGTCTGAAATACATTAATCCCACCAGTTGTGGTAGTCACTGCAATCTCAATCTCTTCCCAATTTAATAAGGTACCAATCTTCTGTAATCTTCCTGGTAAACTGAATCTCAAGAAGGAACCTACAGATCATCTCTCTGAGCAGCTCTTTTAAAACCTGCTCCCATATAAGTGGTTACTCTGCGAATGTCCTGTGTTTGGAAGCCCTATGAAAAGACCTGTGTGTGAAAACCAGCTGCCCTTACCCATAAGCAGAAATATCTCATGTTTCTCTTCCTTCTGTCTAATATCCATGGTGTGAGGACTATATTTCAAGAAGCTGGTTGGATTTGGAGACTACTTAGATTAATTCAGTCCCTATTACTAGACCTACTGTATCCCAGTATGGGACAACTCTTCCCTGACCTCCCCTTGCCTTGCTGAGATGTGGCTGCTGCCTGCAAAATCAAGCCTTCCTCAAAGCAATACCTATATTTCATATACATTCCTGAGGCTTCCACACATATCCATATGACTGCATGAGGGGGGGAACACAGCAAAGTATCACCCGGGGAGGCTGCCTTGAATCATTTGCTTGCCCCTGGTGTAAACCGATTCATGTTCCTCTCTTGGTATTCACAGGCCCAGGCCCTTCTCCGCTGGCACGAGTCCCACCAGTACTGCAGCAAAACTGGACAGCCCACCCACAGAAACGTAGCCGGCAGCAAGCGGGTCTGCCACGCCAGTGGAATCATTTACTATCCCCAGGTGAGCACCCGAATGGCAAGGTAAGCAGCACAGGGGCTCTGTGTGGGAGGGGGGTCTCTCTGTGTAGCTTTCTGTGCAGCCACGCGGTGTTTCTTTAGTGTTCATTCAGTTACCTCCAGTCAGTTGGCTCATTCCTGGCTAGGGAGAGCAAGAGCCTGCGCTCTCTGCTCTGAACTCCTTGCTTTGCTGTTTGCTGCCKTTGCTAGATGTCCTTGGTGGTCATCGTGCTGGTCTCCGATGGCAGCCGGTGCCTCCTCGCGCGGCAGCCGTCRTTTCCTGCGGGCATGTTCAGCGCTCTGTCGGGATTCTGCGACGTAGGTGAGACAACCTGATCGGTGCCAGGGCCCCAAACGCGCAGGGTTTGGGGCAGAGGCCTGTCCAGAGGATGGGCACATGGGTGGCATGAGGGGAAAAGGCATTAGACCTACAGAGATCAGTGCTACCATGCAGATATCACTCAAAACAGCTCCGATGCCCGGCGCCRGCTGCCCCATCCCACCTTTGGCTGCTTCCAGGTGAAACCTTGGAGGAGACCGTCCGCAGGGAGGTGGCAGAAGAGGTGGGCCTGGAGGCGCAGTCGTTCCGCTACTCGGCGTCTCAGCACTGGCCCTTTCCCAGCAGCTGCTTAATGGTAGCGGGTCACGTGCTGGTGAGGGCAGAGCACGCTCAGGTAAGCGGCCCCCTGCTTCACTATTCGCTTTACATAGCGCAGGTCTCTTCCAGCCCACAGACTTTAGTGTAGAAAGCATCAAATTGTCTCTCCGTGCAGTTTTCAATCAGTTCTCTGTAAGTGAAGAGCAAGTTTAAAACATTTTCTCTTGCAATGTGCCACATTTTGCCCAGGYCGCTGTATGAATCCAAGCCCAGAGCCCAGCCCACCTGTGGCTGTTCTCTGAAGTTTGCAGATGATGCTTCCCTATCTACGATTAATATCACGTTCCYGGCGAGACATGTAGATTGTGCTGTGTTAATGACTGTATTCAGCCACTGGCCAATGCTAGATAACACAGGTAGCTCCATGAATAGGGCTGCCTGATTTAGGGCCCTCCAAAGGAAACCAAGACCATAAAACATTGGGGATCAGTAGTATCCACTGGGGATCCTCTTGGCATCAACACTTCATTCAGGAGTGGGTTAAACACTCTGGGCATTGCAGCCTCGGAGCTTTGTGGGTGCAAGAAAAAGCAAAGTACTGCTTGTCATATTTAAATCCGATTTAAACAACTGCTGCCTTCCACATTCCTTCCAGGTCAATATGAACAGCCTGGAACTGGAGGCAGCTCGGTGGTTTGACCTGGAGGAAGTCGTGGAGGGTCTCAAGAGAGGGCCCAAAACGTCAAAACAAGAGGATGGTAGTATTTTACCTTGGTTCCCTCCCAAGCAGGCCATTGCTCACCGCCTGATCCAGGAGTGGGTAAAGCAGCAGACTTCCCAGAAAACTTAGGCACAATGACTTCAGTCTGCAATTTTAGCTTTTTTTTTTTTTTTTTTTTTTATAAAATTCCAATACAAAAACAATGCCAAAGCTACTGAAGATAAAATCCGTGTTTCAGTGGGGATGGCACTGCACTGATGGCACAGGCAAAGCCATTTCTATCCTGACCATCCTCATACAGAACTACAGAATTCTGTACAATCCCACCTACAGTTGATCACCTCTGAGATGCCCTGACTTGCAATGAAGACCACTGAATTCTTCCTTCCAGAGCACCAAGTATAATGACAGCAGCTGCTGGTCTGCTCTGGCCTTTCTTCATTTCACTCATCTACAGGTTTTGGAGGAATACTTGAATCTACAATTTTTTTTTTCCAGAAAAAAAAAAGAAAAAAGAGAATGTGACCTTTCAGTGTTAGCATTCATGCAGATTTAGAACTAAAAGAAAAAAAAAAGTCAAAAAGCCACAGTTTGCATGCTTTCCTTCTGTTCCTTTTTCCCATCCAGTTTTCTAGTTTCATATAAAACATGCAAATCTTTTGCAAATCCTAAGTAGGTTCTTACTCTTAGGACATACTTGAATACCTGAATACTTCTCTGGAGGCCCCACTTCTCCCAGTAATAAGACAAGTTGGAAACTTCCCTTCCAAGGAAGGGAGAACAGAGCTGCCTCGTGGTAGGGAGTGGAAGAGCAAAACCTACATGTGAGCAATTGGAAGAACCCAAATAATAGAAGAGCRAGAGGAATTGCTGCCAACAGAGAATGTTCCTGGAAGATGCAACACCGCTTACTTACCTTGTGCCAGCAGTCTGGGGCTTGCCTGGAGAGCTGGTCCTGTTTTATCAGTGAAATGGCATCGCTTCTCTAGACACTGGGGCGAGGAAAGCCAGGACACAGATGGAAGGGTGTTTGATCTACTGCTCGTTCAAGCAGATGTGCATGTGCCTGCTCAGCAAAGTTTAAATGCCAAGATGGCAAAGCCATCGGCAAAGATACCTGAAGGGGAAACAGGAAGGTATCGCTGACTGTTGCTGCTGGGATTCACTGGAGGTGAACAGTTTGGGGTCACAACATCAGAGCTGTAAGTAAAAAGAGGGTTTTGTCACTTGTGAGCTGTGCTTTGTTTCCTCAGGCTAATTTTGCTTGAGGAGGTAAGAGAGGGGACTCTCTGTGGTAGTTCCTGATGCTTTCTTCTCATTGTGCCATTTTAACTCCCCAACGTTTCTCTTTATCTCTTATTTCTGGAATCTGCCATTTTCTTGTTTTCAGCTTCATTTCCTTCTTCCCCTGCAGTTGAAGATTAAAAGAGTTAGATACCAATCAGTATTYCTGCTTCTCATGCCCCTTCCCACTTCCATGTTGGCACACAGTACTATCAGTGAGGGCTAATTAAAAGAGAAATACGAACTGACTGACATCAGCTCCTTCAGAATAGTCTCTCCTAYGCCACGGACAAGCAGCTGCTTTGGTACAATGTCACCTTAGGCTGTTGTGGCACCAAAATGATTTTGGGACGCAGCAGGTGGCAAGCTGGCACACCAGTTGGGAACATTATTGCTGCTCTGGGAATTGCAGCTCTTGGCCCATATTCTGGACTATACCGGGCTTCCTCAGATGTCACTATTCACCCCCTGTTTTGTTCTTGTTTATCGTTAGAGGAAAAGCAAAGCTAACTCTCGCACTAATTTTCCCCTGTGACTCACCTTTTGAAGCACAGAYCATTTAAAAGGTCTGTATGTTCCTTATATTTATCAATTAGGAAAAAAAAACCTCTTTTCAGTCTACTTTAATTCTATTTTTTAGGGCAAGAACAACTACTCTCAAATCTTTTAAAGGGCCTCAATTTTTTAACTGTTTACAACTCCTTAATCCAAACCTTTTTGACTTAGGGCAAAATAATAATGGTGGTCTTTATTCCTGGTATTAGCAGAAGAGGAGTAGCTAAAAAAGGACAGAAAGCCAACATGAGAAATATTGTTCTCACCTGAATTTGCCTCATGAATCCGGCCAAGGCCTGAGCAAAACTCACTGCAGTCAGGAACATAACACGGTCCCCAAAGGCAGCTCACCTGGAGAAAGAAACAAACAATTCTCCAACAGATGCTTTTTTGTCAAAATGCCGCAGAATTGCTTACTTTCTATGTAAAAGATAGCAGGCAAGGAAAGGGGACTTGGCCACTATTTTCTCAAAAGTGCATGTATTAAATGATTCTTCTTGGTTTGTGTAAATCACAGAAACTGCACTGTTTTCAGAGCGTGCAGGGTTTAGGGCTTATCCTGTTGTTATACGCTGTATAATACACTGTATTATACACTGTATAATACCAGTCGGCTGAAGACGTAGGCAGCCATAGTATAACAACAGCAAAGGGATTCCTTTGAAATAGCTTTAGAAATAGAAAGGCAGGCAGGTTCAGAGCAGCAATCCACCTACTGGCCAAAAGCAGCAGGGCAGAAAAGTTATGTTTACCTCCTCCGAGTGCCAGCAGGGGATTAAAGGAACCAAGCCACATGACACAGCTTGTCCATCGCCGAGTGAGGTTGCTCGGAAAAGCCTTTTTTGGAAATGGTGTGGAGGACTGAATTTGTGTTTCACGTTAAAGCGTGTTTCGAGATACCGCAGACACACACTGAATCTAGTGTTCAGCCTGAGAGCACATGAGCAATTCAGGGAATGCCCTGACAATGCGACTGGGGTAATGCCGTCTTTCAGGCAGCCAGAAGCAGGTCGACTCTGGCAGCTGCAAGGGCTTGGTTGTCAGAATGGCTTATAATTACACACATACTTCAGCAGTCTGAAGCACTGCTGAAATGAATTCCATAGTCCCAGGCTCCAATTTCCATTTAAAACTTACTCACTTTTCAAGTTGGCAACACAAGTCAAGCAGCTGTGTCAGATACTCTCTGAGGTCATTCATGTGACAGTTCATAGACCTGGAAACACCTGAACACCTCCAACACTCCTTTCCTTTGGAAAAGATGCTAAGTTGCTGCACTGGAAATAGTGCAACTTGCAGCTTTTTTAGGAAAAAGCTTATCCTGTAGGCAATCACATACATCCTCTTGGTGATGTGCAGGTCATGACAGGGACACTGAAGTTGGCATCACCTGCCTGAAACAAGAGAAGGGACATGGGAACACAAAGCTGCACTGATTCCCTAACAACAATGTTAACACAAGAACTCAAAATGCCAATAGAAAACATTTCTTCCCCCGTACTTCTTCTCATATCACCACTTATTAATAAGCTAACAATCTCAACAAGACCTTTTAAAGAATGGGAAAGCAAGGAAGACGCTGCAGTCAGGCTGCTACATAACACATTTGCTGGACTGGGACAAGAGCTGCTATGCAGCACTTTTTGCCTGAAATCACTGCTGGCTGATTTGTGAAATTATAGGGACAAAGCATCAGCAAGTCAAAACCACACACAAATTCATTAACACTGATGTCTGAATAGCAAGAACCTGAAGAGTTTTTGCTAGTGAAAAAACACATCTCCGCAGGCACAAGGTATATGCAGTAACGATCTGAGGAAAATTTCGGCACATTTCTGAAATATAAACTGGAAAAAAAAAAAAAAACATATTTAATCCTCTGTCAACCCTGTATCTGTATGGCCTTGCAACTGCAGGTAGGTTGACTACTCTCATAACTGAAAAAAGATATATAACTGAACCAATTTAGATTAACAGCATTGCAACCATGTGATTTCACTGCTCCTTTAAAAATGTCTTTACTGGAAATATSTCACTTTCTGCCCCTATCTACAACAGTGCTTTTGAATAAACTGAGATTTACCTTCGTGGGAGCTTTGCTCTTCACTTCCCATCTTTGTGCAATCTTCTGGATCCTCCTAAAAYGTTAAAAATGAAAGGGGTGAAGCACACACTCTATTCTAAACTGCAATCCCACCCACATTCCACACAGGMACACTACACAATGGGATATTCCTCTACCTCTATGGAGTACTTGGTTTTTTTACCTACAGTTTTACATCAGGAGCCTGTAGGCTGTTGATGACAACTGTTTCCATGTCTATGCACTCAGTTTCCTAGTCTGGAAGCAYAGCTTGTATTCCTAAATCTACTTGTTTAATTTTTGATTTATTAGTTAATTATATCATCAGGAAGCCTGTGCTGATGAAGGGGATGGCTTCTTGAGGATCTTGGGGATGGCTTAGACATCCCACTTGCCACACATGGACTAAATCRTTTTAGGCTTCTAAACCCCTGACTTCTCATATTCTTGAGAAACAAATCACATAAGAAGYTCCCGATTTGGTTAAGTGGAGAACCACAACTGCCTTCTTACTCATGGTGATGTTTACTTGGGCTAGCACAACGTTGAAAACAAAGAATTGAGTTTCCATCACAGACTTGCCAGAACAGATGCTCTTGCACGTAAACAGCAAGAGGGCAGTTGTTGCTGTACCCTTTGCAGCATCCCTGCAGATCTGAAGCGGTACTAAAGGCTGCACCGAACTCCTGCTGCAATCGAAAGCAAAAATCTGATTTCTCACATGAGCAGCTGTRCGAAAGCTGTGCAAACATTCTCAAAAATAACTCTCCCAAGACTGCAAATAATAAATGCCCTGGAGGTGACTGTTTCTCCTATACTTTACAAAGAAAGGCACAAGTAAATTGTTCTCAGGGAGGTGACTCTTGGGGAGGGGATACAACATCCACTTACAAATAAGGATTTTGAAAGCTTTTTTTTTTTTTTTTTTTTTTTTTTTTTTTTTTTCCCCAGGAGGTAGATTAAAGCATAAAGGACTTTACCTATCAGGTTTTATCACTGCCATTGAATTGCATTTGCATGTAAATCCAACCCCAAGCAGTAACTTAGCTAAATACCAGTCATCCTGATACAGGGAGGGCAGCATGGCAACATCCCATCCTCTTAGACCAGAAAGGAGTTAAAACTCATGCTGAAAACATGGCTAGCCTGCGAGCTGCTGACTTGGGAGGTGAACTGTGCTCCCTCCACTAACACAGAGGAAACAAAGGCCCTCCTTCTTAGGCTCCTATCTGCTCCATAAGG